TGAGTGTAGGTTCATGTCTCCTTCGCAAAATATGCGTAAGCAACCTCTTCAAAGACGCTCCGAGCATTGCCGAGCGCGACGACCTCGCGCGGAGCATGTTGCACACAGCAGCTATGGCACAGCGGACATATGAGAAGAAATTTAACCCGGATGGAACTCGGATCAAGTTTTGAACGGTTTGTAATTTGCTTGCCAATTGGGAGCTGCCTTCGAGACACTTGGATGCCTGTGAATGCGTCTAGATGTAGCGAGGGCACTCCAATTCCATCTGCCGTGTCTGAAGACTCAATTCGATTATCCTCGTGCTGCCATGCATTATACGGAATCTTCACTGAAAAGCCGGCATCAAGAAGGCGCTTTAGAGTCCTCCGTTGACACGTATGCCCATTCTGGTAGCGCGCAAAGGCTTGGGCTAGAAGGATTGCATCCCTATGTCTGTGGTAGTATCTCTTCGTGTAAGTCTTTCGAGCATCCGGATGCTTTTCATAGAATTGCTTGATAGTTTTGCATACTTTGCAAGTGCAACAATCGTTCAAAGCGCTTTCGTCATGCGACTCCATGCTGAGTACTACTATCTAAGGTAAGATAATTTGCCTGACCCAACACCGAACGCACATGCGTTTGAACGGCCTCATTTAAAATCTTGTCAGAATGTACGAAGAAATGGCGGACGCACAAAGTAGCCTCTCTGGACCTCAGGCCGCTCAGGACCCCAGGCCCGCAGGGCCTCGAGCCGTTGCAGACGAGATTGAACGGCTCTCCCATTTTGGGCTATATGCAATCCCTGTGCGCATGTTTTGGAATAAAATGGAGGGTAAGAAAGATGCCAAATTTCCATACAAGTACGCAGATATCACAACCCCAGAGTTGTGGAAACATTCTATCAACAAAGCAAAGCAAGAAAGGAAGGACGCCAACGGCATCGCAATTTTGACACGTCCCAGTAGGATCTTTGTGGTCGATATTGATGTGTCCAGCAAAGATGGAAGATCACCGGGGATCCAACTCTGGAACCGACTTGTCAAGGAACATGGGGAGCCTCAAACACTAAAGGCACAATCAGGATCCGGTGGCTATCATTTCTACTGTAAGGCAGCTACACCCGGCCTCAAATGCACCCGTAACTTTGCAGGCATCAAGGTTGATAATATCGAATATGGTATTGACGGTTGAGCCGGTGGAGGAATCGTTTTTGCTCAGCCTGCAAGCTACGTCAAGCCTCAAGGCAACCTTGCGACATACAAATGGCTCAATGGGCCTGCCAGCTTTCAGACATGTCAAGACATGCCTTCGTGGCTCGTAAAGTTTCTCAACGATCACGTTCAACAAACTGCAACCGACGAGACCAAAAAGCACAATTCATGCAAGAGTGAATTGAATGCTACCCCATCTGTTGTTGACATGTCAACACCTCTTGAAGATGTGCAAGGCACGGAGGCCCTCCCTGGATTGGAGGGTGCGCTTCGAGAGATCAAGAGATTG